GGAGGGCAGGGGGGGAAGCATGGAAGCTTACCTTGCCATCCCCTCTGTCCCCCTCCTTCAACACCCCATGGCACTGACACCTCCAAAGAGTAGGGCTGGGGTGGGGGGAAGAAACTTGCCCTGCCATCCCCTGTCCCCCTCTGCCAGCACCCCAGGCTGCTGACACCTCCAAGGAGCATGGCCAGGTGAGGCCAGCACTGCTGGCCTTGCCCGCCCCCCCTCGCCCCCACCATCATATATATTTGGTTACTGTATATCTATTTAATATTCTAATATAATAAACAGCTTAGCCCGTCTGTCTGTCTGTAATGCTCTTAGAGCTCTCTCTCTCTCTCTCTATGTATATAAAGTTCCCACTGCTTTGGGACAGGAAATGAAAAGAAAGTTGACAAGAAGAATATCTATCTGGCACATGGTGGCACCTGTGCATGTCCCCAGGCTATCTAAAACTTACCTTTGGCCATTCTTTTTATAAACTCGTCCTGCATGAGTCCTGATATGTCAAATTTGAGACTCCTTGCAATCCAAATATATATAAATGAGTAGGGTTGGAGTGTTGTTGTAGCTCTGATGATATAGGGAATATGTGAGAAATAAAGTTTGTTTGGCAATATCTTTTATTGGGTCAGCTGTATAGCTGGGAAAGAAGCTATACAAGCCTTCAGGCCTCAGGTCTGGGAAGGAAACAGCTAAATATCAGATCAAATCATAACTTTCTTAAAATGTTTCTTCCTCATAAAAGCTGTTTTCTCAGTCTGAAGCAATTTAAAACTAAGAAGGAAATAATTTTAAGAACTTATGAAAGATGGCACATTTTCTCTTCTGGAGGTTATCATGTATTTTTATTTACAGAACAGGGTACTAGTTTGGCATGAGTCGCAGCAATATCATTCTGTCCAGGCCAAGAGGACCCACATCTACTGTAGGAAGTCCTCTGTTCTCAGTATCTTCCAGTGCTGAGTTTCTCTGAGAAACCTGCCAAGAAGAATAGTATGCAGTACAAAGTATATTAGTAGGTTATTTTGATATGAGGTTTTGTTTTATTGGAATAGAGTTGGCATCACCCAGCTCTTATTTATTATTCAACACCATCAGATGGAAGAAAACATAATCCAGGACGTATTTATTACACAACACCATAAAAATGAACAGTTTTTTGGTCCCAGGCAGTTAAGGATGACTTTGAAGCTGCCACCTAAAGGCATCCATGCTTTTCCCAGAGGTTTGGAAGTGACCCCTTACCTGTGCAGATACAGGTTTTAACAAGTTTCAGGGGCCCCAAAAAATCCCATCATTCAAACCATGAATGCCTGGAGAGATAGGTCCTGACCTCAGGGAGGGCAAAATGAAGAGGGGTCTGAATGGAAGCAGATGTTTCAAGCCTTTTCAGCACTTGTGGAAGGTGCCGGTGCCTCCCTCGGGTTGCAGAGACCCAGGTAGCAACCCAGGCCAGTGCTTGTCCTGCAGTTACAATGCGGGTGTGAAGGGATGTGTGAACCGAATGGGTTCAGTCATGTCAATCTTTTCTCTTTGGCCTCTCTTAAACCCCCGGGGGCCGGAGCTCCCACCCGTGCCTAGAGCAGAGTAAGCTCAAACCCATCGGGTGCTGAAGCGTGGGCACCGGGCACCCAGCCGGGAGGCAAGGAGAAAGGGAAAAGAGACCATTTGTGAGGAGGCCGAAGAGCTGGGAGGAGGGGACGGATCCAGAGCAGGGGGCAAGCGGCGAAGGAAGGAAGGGGACGGAGCTTGGAGGAGGGGAGTCGGCGAGGAGCTGGCTGCGCCCGGTGCGAGACTCTCCGGGCCGGGACACGGGGAGCCGGGGGCAGCGTCCGTCCCGGTGCCCGCCGGCGGCGTGCGGGAAGGTGGCGGCTGCCGGGCTCGCACCCCCTCAGCCGGCTGGTGCATCCTCGCCTCAGGGCCGGCCCCGGGGGTGTGCGAGGGGCGGGGCGGCCTCCCATTGGCTGGCGGCGGGG